TTTTCCAGCCAAATCTGGGCTCATACCCTTACACCCTGCCGCCATGCCTACCGAGCCAGGCTCTTAGGGCCCAGTACTCGTCACAGCCCCTCATCCCAAGCGAAGCGGGACGTGAATAGATAATAAAAACACATAAAAAAATAGGATAGGGAAACTAGAATATGGGGGGGGGGGGGCTGTTGGCACCTCGACAGTCCCGTGAGTCGGTCCCGGCGTCGCGCATACCAAGAAAACTGAGGGGGATAGCTCCGTCGGGCCCTCAACCCCTTAGTTTCTTCCGTCCCGCTCCGCTGCTCCTGCGCCACCGCCCGCTGGCCTCGATCCCCAAACCTTCATAGCGATAGTCCAGTACCGTAACCTATAGGGATAAGCCCAAGCTTGGGACAACTAGGCGCGGATTCCAATATGAAGTGGTGTCGCGCCGTGCCGCGGCCCGGGAGCCGCAGCCTAGGCCTTCCTTGCCTACCGCTGTCGGCGTGCCAACATCAGGCACCCGTGCCAACCTGCTTAGACCTCGCCGTAGCCGCCCCGTGCGCCCACCGGCGCGCTAGTCCTACCGCCGATCGCGCATACCAACCAAAAATGAATCTTCGTCCCCTACACAAACCGTAGCACGGTCCAGGTCGGTCGAGTAGACCGGCCGCTCACTCAATCAGAAAGATCACACGCGCGCCTTAAACTGCGCGCCCACATACCCCCTAACTTAGTCGGGACGGATCTCGGACGCGGTCGTGCCTCACACGGCTTATTCAACCAAACCCATTTTCCTGTTATTTGCAAAAAACAGGGCGGATACCCTTGTAAGGGTATTCGCGCCGACAGCGGGACATCCCACAGTCTGTCTAAGTCTATTAGACTAAAAACAAGTGGTAGGATACTCATGTCTGAATCATCCTACTGCTGGATCGAATCCATACAGACTAGTAAGTATGAGATGAAGGTTTCTGTCAGAGTTTTCTTACTTCATACTTACATTTGATCGGACTATAATATAGTCCTCCGTTAGAATTCAAGTTCACATCGCTGAACTTCATGGAGGGCCCTGTTGATAGTGAGGGAGGTGTTGAGACCTTGTGACCTATGTGTGATTGCATGTCATCTTACTCAAGAAGACTCGTTGTAAGTCTGTACAAGACTACATGCTATTGCCTTATGGTAACAGGTTGGTTCGCCAACTCAACCCTCACTCACCCTTGACACCCACACTTTGCATCTACCTCTGCACTAAATAACATTTCTCATTTCCGAGTCATTGTCTAAAGGGTTTGTGTTTGATCAAAAGAGGTCCTCGAAATGACTAAGTCGAAAAGAGAATGTCTGGTTGAAAGGTTTCGAAGCGTAGGTATAATGTGTGCGGAAGTGAATGACTCTGTTAGGATTGTGAAATGCTTTTGTCTTGTCTGCAGGTCAGTAAAACGACCAGCCATGCTTCATTCACGCAAATCGCATTGACAACTTATGCTTACCAAGGCCTTGACTCAGACACTCCATCGACTCGTAACCTTTTGTATATTTGGTTTGGATTTTCGGACTTTACTCCTTCTTGATGCTAAACATATTAGGATAATTGGTAAAGCCAGAGAGCCTTAATCATGTCGTTTTCTTTGAAAGGCCATGAGCCTACTTTTGTTTGTGATCTCTATTTGAAAGGCCAAGAGCCTATTGATTGTTTCTCTTTCAAAAGTGAAAGTTCTGTTCATTCTAATATTTGCCTCTGTTTGTGTAAAAATGTAAAAGACATCGCCTTGCTGTTAGATCTTAACTTTTGAAAAGTGTTCATTATGTTGATATCGATTTGAAAGAATTTAATACAGTATATATAATTTATTTACCAAGTGCAAATAGGTTAGCGTATTGCATGCACGAAAGATCGTCAATCGAGTCGACCTGAATTGTAAGTCGATCCGGGAGATCAACGCCTCGATGCCCGACACATTAACAGGTCAGTCTTAGGCGTTCAACCGTGCGTATACCTATACTACGACAATCGAGCAAACACCCTCGGCCAACCCACCTCTACAAAGGCATGTAAAAACCTTCGCATGTGGGTCGGTGGCTCAGTAGGGATACGCCTACCTGGGGTTGGTGACAGCCCCTCGGGTAGAGGTGAGTTATACATCGCGGCACCCCGACCTGTCGTGGGGTGTCGTGAGAGGTATAACACGCTGTAGGGCCAAACCCCGGTAGACTTTCGCGCCTTGGTCGACTCCACTGCGGTGTCGGGCGCATCGGTCCGACACCGCACGGGGGCAGGGCGGGACCTTCCCGGCCACGTCACGCAGGAGTTGGTTTTTAGAATCCTTCGTCGCAATATACATGGAGCTTCCGCAAGCCGCTCCGGCCAGGTGCGCCAGCCATACCTCTCGCGAGCCCCTACGACAGGATAGGGCCTACGCGAGGCACGACTTACCTACACCTTACGGGAGCTGTCACCTCCCTTCGGTGGGCGTATCCCCGCCGAGCTACCAGTCCACAGTACGAAAGTTAATCAGTTGCAATCGCAGAGGTGGACCAGCCAAGGGCGTTTCTCGTTCGCTGTAGCATAGGGGGTACGCGCGGTAATACACCTCTATCGGACCCGCACGGGAACCGACATCTTGAGGGGGCTGAGGTCCCAAGCGCGACTCATCGTCGGTTGACTAGGACGCATCCCACACACCATGCGCACTCCACTTTACGAACACACATACACACAAAACAACATATATACGAAACGACACAATACCAACAACGCGACAACGCTCCTAGCCCCTCGGTAGCCAACCCATAACTTTCCAATGCGGAAATCGGATAGGCGTCCCGCGCTAAACTTAGTATAAAACCGCGCGGACGCAGGGCATATTCATATCGACTTGCAATGCAGGCGTACACAAGCAGTCGCAATGATGGCGTACTATGTAGTGCCCATAATCAAGCGGTCCCTCGTGGATCCGAGTACCGCTTATGACACTCAAGTGTCAGACTTGAAGTGTCGTGAGGGCCTAACCCTTCACGACATTGCAGGCTGAAGGAAATAGTCCTGCAGCTGCCGCTGCACCTTAGGCTCTCGGCCTGAGTGTCTCGGTAGGCAAATCAAATAGGCTCTGCGCGAGGGAAAACCCCTCCCCTGCAGAGCCTAGGGCTTGGGATGTCCTGGACAAGGACCTCGAATCCCGGCCCGGGACCAAATGTCCGACTAAGAAAATCATAAAAAAACAAGAGACAAGAATAAAAGGAGAGACCTCCCCCTAAGCCTCTCAGTCTCAGCTTCTGAGTGAGGCTCTAATGTGGGGGTTCTTCAACCCATGCAAACATTCATCCCAAGTATACCCATGTATACATATATAAGGGTTAAGTATGTGACGATCACTTCTCATGGTTTCGCTGGGGTCTCTCACAATAATACGTATATGTGTGATTGTAGGCAACCAAATCCAGAATCTGATTCACAGCACATACCTGCCATCACATCAGCGAACCAAATCA